GGTGAACCGGAGATCAACATAATTACGTCAACTGGTTTCACACAAAAGATAGATTGAATTTAAAGGTAAGCTTAAAGGATTGTACAATGAATTTAATAACACTTTTCAATCCAAATTTGAATTAGATACAGCATAAAAATGATACATTAAAATACGTCGTGCGACTGTTTCGCCCTTTTCCGACTCCTACATGACACTAAGGTTTGATAGTGTTGAAAAGAAGGAGATGCTACTAAGGCTGATGGTGTCGAAAAGAAGGAGATGATACTAAGGCTGATGGTCTTGAAACTAAGGAGATGATACTAAGGCTTATGGTGTTCAAACTAAGGAGATGATACTAAGGCTGATGGTGGTCAAACTAAGGAGATGATACTAAGGCTTATGGTGTTCAAACTAAGGAGATGATACTAAGGCTGATGGTGGTCAAACTAAGGAGATGATACTAAGGCTGATGGTGCTGAAACTAAGGAGATGATACTAGGAGCTGATGGTGGTCAAACTAAGGAGATGATACTAAGGCTGATGGTGTTTAAACTAAGGAGATGATACTAGGAGCTGATGGTGTTCAAACTAAGGAGATGCCACTAGGAGCTGATGGTGTTCAAACTAAGGAGATGATGCTAAGGCTAATGGTGTTCAAACTAAGGAGATGCGACTAAGGCTGATGGTGTTGAAACGAAGGAGATGATACTAAGGCTTATGGTGTTCAAACTAAGGAGATGATACTAGGAGCTGATGGTGGTCAAACTAAGGAGATGATACTGGGGCTGATGGTATTCAAACTAAGGATATGATACTAGGAGCTGATGGTGTTCAAACTAAGGAGATGATGCCAAGGCTAATGGTGTTGAAGTTTAGGAAACGACGAAGAGAAATCAATATGACCGAATTAAGTGTCAAAATAAAGATTCGGGGGTGCACTGGCCGATAATTACAGAAATCTCATAGTTTTCGGCACTGAATGAATCAAAAATATACCAAGTATTAAGTGATTTTCTGCATATGGGATAACTGAAGGATTGGGCATGAAAACAGTGAATGCTAAAACATTGGGTTAATTTTCCATCAATAGATATTCGAGCAAGTTCCAAAATGCAATATTAGACAACTTGAAACAGGTGTTTACTGTCACGACTCAAATCAAATCAAATCAAATCAAAGAGATTGCATGTTCTTACTGAGGATTACCAAAAGACAGTCTTCTGGATGTAAACCATAGAGATTGTATGTTCTTACTAATGATAACCACTGGACAGTCTTCGGGATGAAAATCATAGCGACTGCATGTTCTTACTGATAATTACCACGGGACAGTCTTCGGGATGTAAATCATAGAAATTGTATGTTCTTACTAATGATAACCACGGGACAGTCTTCGGGATGTAAATTATAGAGATTGTATGTTTTTACTAATGATAACCACGGGACAGTCTTCGGGATGTAAATCATAGAGATTGTATGTTCTTACTAATGATAACAACGGGACAGTCTTCGGGATGTAAATTATAGAGATTGTATGTTCTTACTAATGATAACCACGGGACAGTCTTCGGGATGAAAATCATAGCGACTGCATGTTCTTACTAATGATAACCACGGGACAGTCTTCGGGATGTAAATCATAGAGATTGTATGTTCTTACTAATGATAACCACGGGACAGTCTTCGGGATGTAAATCATAGAGATTGTATGTTCTTACTAATGATAACCACGGGACAGTCTTCGGGATGTAAATCATAGAGATTGTATGTTCTTACTAATGATAACCACGGGACAGTCTTCGGGATGAAAATCATAGCGACTGCATGTTCTTACTAATGATAACCACGGGACAGTCTTCGGGATGTAAATCATAGAGATTGTATGTTCTTACTAATGATAACCACGGGACAGTCTTCGGGATGTAAACCATAGAGATTGTATGTTCTTACTAATGATAACCACGGGACAGTCTTCGGGATGTAAATCATAGAGATTGTATGTTCTTACTAATGATAACCACGGGACAGTCTTCGGGATGAAAATCATAGCGACTGCATGTTCTTACTAATGATAACCACGGGACAGTCTTCGGGATGTAAACCATAGAGATTGTATGTTCTTACTAATGATAACCACGGGACAGTCTTCGGGATGTAAATCATAGAGATTGTATGTTCTTACTAATGATAACCACGGGACAGTCTTCGGGATGTAAATCATAGAGATTGTATGTTCTTACTAATGATAACCACGGGACAGTCTTCGGGATGTAAATCATAGAGATTGTATGTTCTTACTAATGATAACAACGGGACAGTCTTCGGGATGTAAATCATAGAGATTGTATGTTCTTACTAATGATAACAACGGGACAGTCTTCGGGATGTAAATCATAGAGACTGCTTTCGTTGGTTTAGACTTTGTGTACCCACGAATTTATTTTACAGTTTACAGTTAAACGTCTAAGTTTCCCATTTGGAACCAAACGCAACATCTGATTTAATGTTATCTATACAAGAAATAATTACTGGAAAACAGAAACAAATGAGTAAGTGAAATTAGTTCACAGCCAATAAACAAGTCCTCCAGTCAGCAGGAACAGAGCCATTATCGTGTCTGTGGCCAAACCTTGTATTCGGAGTTTTTTTGCGTCTGTCACAAACCTTGGGAGACAAATGCAATAACAATTAAACATGACTGGGTGTAAGATTATTACGGAATCTGTTAGACTATATAATTCCCATAAATCCTTATCACAGGCGGATCACATCAGTAACATTTTTAAAAATGTTTTTTGAGTTTGGTTTGGTTTTGTTATTGTTTTAATGTCACTAGATAAGATCGAAAACCAGACGACACAAACCGCCGACATGTAAACAGCCAGTCGGATTTAACTGGTCATTTCACAACAAAGCGGATCCAAAACTCAGTGTGGATTATGATCAAGAAGAAATATATTATTGATTGATTGATGGATGGATTAAATGATTTTTATGAGCGAAAAGGTAAGCCTGTACAATTTGTCTTGTCACACAACTTACAATTTGTCCTGTCATACAACTTACATTTAGTTATAAAGGGCATGACGCTGTTGTTTCGAACTTACAGGATTTTTGTGTTAGTATGATACAATGATATTCATGTAACGTTTGATAAACAAAAGTACTCGCCGATATTGTCCTTTGTCTTGTGAAGACGAATTGGTATAAAGATTTAACCTGCCTGTAAAGGTTAATGTATGATAAAAACCACGGAATAATTTCGCTGATACTAATTAAAGTACATATATATTGTACAATGATCTGGATTTGACCTTAAACAGCAAAACATTTAAGAAATATTTCAATCGTATATACAATACAGAAGCTGACATTAAAACGCCCAAGACGGTTCTTCTCCATTTAATAGATTTGACATTTACTTTCCGCGATATTTCCAATACGACCTGCTTGCGTATGGAGTTACTACACTGTTCAAGCTGTGTAGAGCCTAGCCACACAGTCGCAATTTTTCGACTGGTACGATTAAGACACTCGTTATCGAAATCACAGCGGTAAGATGACAGTCAATGTTTGTATTCCGTTTAGTTTTTGTGTAAATATATTTTTGTGTGTTGATTGTTTTAAATTCTGATAATGTTTTATATTAAGGGTACACTATATCTTTTTTTTTCTGTTTTACTTCAGTAGATGAAGCAGTGATCGTTCACTAAATTATTTTACTTCGCGATTCCTTCATACAGACGATTTTGTAGAAAGACTAGACAACCTAACGAGTAAACAGCTGGGAAGGAGTGAATAAGGCAGACATCATTTAAATGTTGTACTACAGTGTTAAAGGTGTTAAACGGTTCTTCAAATGCGGTCTTTTCAGTTTATCCATGTGCGTAAATCATGGCGGGTTTTTTTCTGCATCATCGAGACCAGTTAACCATTGATTCCGATCTTTTCAATGATTATTTAATGCGTCTTTCTATGCAACCTGACAGCTATCAATACGGCAAGTCTACAAATGAACTCGCACTTAACACTTCTTGTCCCATTAAGATGAAATCTTTCGTTTTTACGTAAAAGATTGTGTACAGTTAAATAATAACAAGGAAGTTAATTAATAGTGGCGGCCACAATATCTGGGATTTCCTGAAGTTTGTGTAGTGGAAAATGATAATAATGATATTAGTGCACTGGAAAGTACTTCACACACACATGGTATTTAGGGGTGATCATTCAAACCCTAGCTAATTGGAAACATCTTTCCAGTCAATTTGTATGTTATATATGGGTTTTTCTAGTTTATATTTATATTAATTATATTAACCTACATACTATGTAGCCTGCCAACAAGATTTTTGAAATATTTTGTAACTTAAGTATAAATAATATGTATACACGTGGTAAATGAACGGCGAGCCCGTGAGCATGCTCCCGGGGCGACATAACTACTGACAGGGCAGGGTTGGTTAGATAGGAGATAAGTATAGAAACACGTGCGTATGTACGTATTGTAGGTTTTTACTACAGTATGATGGTTTCATCGTAAATTCACGTCACTACTATTCACAGAACGTCAGCTGAGCTACGTGCCAGCACCCTCAGGAGTTCTGTAATCTTGTCAACCATCGTATCAGTATAACGACACACATATCATACTGATAATCATTATTTTGGAATGTTTTGTTGAACTGACTACACATTTTCAAAACATTTTATAAAATTATAATTGTGATGGTTTGAAATGCGTTTCCTATGCATGTGAAGCTAACAATCCAATTGTTGTGTTTACTACACGTTGTTTACTACAACTTACTACGCGCAGCATGTGTATACAAATATATATATATTACATATATATATATAATATCCTGTCCCATACATTGTCAATAGCATGACTACATGTTTCTTGAATAGAAAAAAATGGTGTCAGGTATATAAAAAACTACTGCATATAAAAATAGATGTATGATATTATAGAAGAACATGTAGCAATAACCTAGTACATATGAAAGTCACTGGCTTACCTTTGGAACCGGAGTCGTAATAAGCCGGCCTCGATGTATTTACCATCCGTAAACCAGCTAGCACACACAACCAGCAAACACACATAAGCCAAGTGTCATACAGCATGCTCTTCTGAGGGGTGCCGAGTCGGGATGGTGTCCAAAGTTAGCATCTCAGCAGATTTCATAGATAAAAAATCACAATTGCCATAAAAAAGGAAACAATTCTTTTGCCCTCCTGTAATTGTTTTTTACATTAATTGTTATCCACTAAAACATATTTAATGTGACGTCTTTACACAGGCCGAACACCCTCCTCCAAGTCCTGACCCTCGCACGGGCAAATTGGCGGAATGCAGACATGGAGAGACGTAGTGTTCTATAGAAGCATTACGGAGCTCGGCCGCTATACATGTATTCACCGTAGGGTTATGTACATACACACAGCTTTTCTTTCATGACTCTTGGATGGTCATATTTGAAACATGTTTTTTTTTACTTTTTGTTCAAATAATGTCCATATGTATAGTTTGTTGCATCCATTGAGCTCCCAGTAAGGTGTATGGGACAGTTAGAGTATCACTTTGTTAATTCTACAGTAATTTAAAGCCATCTTCACACAATAAATCGGATGATCTCCTTCAAATTACTTTGCATTTCTTCTACATGACCCAAAGTTTTGTCTCCTATACGAATGGCGTACAAATCGTCTCCCTCTACTAAGTAAGTCACCTAAATGGTATTATTTTATCACAGATTGAACTTAAAAGTTACCGGAAAACTTTAATCCAGGACCAAAGCAATGTATACATCTCATGTCAATTTTGTAATGACCGGCTTTGCAATGTACACCGCATGTAAATTTTCACCCAGCTGTCCTGAGTCAAGGCGATAAGACACGCCCCCAACATCCGAACAGCAAGTGACATTGGTGTTTTCTGCCGGATTTTTTTAATGTATTCTGGAAGGCAGTATAACATTATAAAGATTTTTGCTTTCAATGCAAGTCGATTTCAATTAGGCGCTGTTTTAAAGGGTTAATCATTGTCTATACGTTACACGCTTTACCTGGCAGTACACGTAAACACATGATTCATCCAATACTATTTGTCCGATAAGTCCTGATACCACACCAAAACCATTGTTGCCTGATGTTCCAGGGGAGTGATATAAAATCACAATATCTTCTTAATCGAACGAAGAATACACAACACAGCTGACAGTTCAGGTTGTTATCTTTTTTGTGTGTTCATATGGTGATCTTTTTATATTGATTTTGAGCTAGAACTGTGATTTTATTTACACGTAAGTCCTAAGTATTCTTTTGTTGCACTGTACGAGGCTATCTGGTCTACGTGTATTAATGTTTATTTTCATTTTAACGTGCTTTCATTCAGTACGTGGCATCTGTTTTAATGTAAATCTTCCTATGTATGAAAGAACAATCAAATATCTTTCAGTTTTAAACTTTATCCCTGATCTTATTCAATACCTGAAATGATATAGGCAAGTGTGTTGATTAGATAAAAAAAACCTATGTTAAAGGTCTACCATCAGTAATTTAGTTTATCTGGTTCCTGAATATGGCTGGTAAATATTAAAATAGCAAATACGACACAGTTGTGATACTAATGAATAAAGAATCATTTGGTTTCCACATTACAAACTTTTACATACAAACACCATCTGCTAAACCTCATGTTTTTCATTCTGTTGTTGATATCAAATGATTAACCACAACTCTATTCTTGTATCAACCATAAAACGGTTCAGAACTGAAGAAACGAAAACTTTTCAGCATTCAGCCAAAATGTATGTTAACTATGTTAATTGATCGTTGAATTCAGTTTATATTTGTGTGGTAGTTACTTGGTGTTCGCACTCTCATGACAACACTTGGGGTTTAAGTGTTTAGATCTGTATAAAAAGAGCTGGTTTCATTGATTCGAAAACATTTTCTTTTTCTTATCGTCCGTATGTAAAATGATCTTGAAATCTTAAGACCCAACAATTAATCTGAATCATTTAGAGGTAATATTTTGATTGACGTTTTCTTCTCTTCAAAGGAAACAAATAACTGATTTGATTAGTTGGTTTAATTTCTTTTCTGAAACGCACTGCTTTTCTTTTCAAACACCAAAAAATCTGTTTTATTTGATTTCCTAGTATTGTTTGATTTGAACAGGTCAAGTACCGGCCAATCAGTGTACAGTGCCGACAAATAGCTACAGAGGAACATTTTTAAATCAGATGATGTTATTCTGTTTTTGCTGTTTGCTATTTTCATTTTCTTTCTTTTCACATATTTCTTTTTTATGTTAATATTGTTCTAGATAATAAAATCAACTGAATGTTTCTGACAATGGGTATCTAACATGCACTTAATTGAACATGATTACTGAAAACAAAATAGAAAACAAAACAGTGTAATGAAGCCGGATGGTTCTTTTGATATTGATACTGTTTGTGGTATAAAAGATTTTTTCATAATAGTCATTCCTCTGTCCTTAATGATTAATACATTGCATATTTCAATATATAAATAGACGTGTGCTCTTCCTCTGTGTGCACGAGAGAATTAATATCTGACGTTTATCTTATTTAAATCATTTTAACTAAGCGTCACGGAGCTGTGTGTTGTATTCTTGGTATTCAAATACTGAACCAGCAGAAATTCCTTCTCATTGTGGCATTACTGGAAACGTTACTGTCAAAAGTGTTCTCCAGAGATATAAGGTGTTTATATCTTATGTAACAGGGTTACTTTATTAGTATCACCAGTAACACCGTCCCCTTTAATATTCTCGCTTCAAAATAACGCGTTTGTATGGTAGCCTCGTGTTTCTTTAAACAGATTCTAATCCTGTATCGTTTTGTAGTGACATGGTTACCTTTATCATTCTCACTTCAGTTTGATACTTACTTACAATATTTCCTTCAATACCTTGCCTCATGTCCTACTCTAACCTATTCAGATAATAGCTCCCGTGTGTATCACAGACAAGTGTACAAAGAGATTGTATAAAGACGTCGTAAAATTGAAGTTTTTGACATTTTAGGTTGTTGTGACAAGAGATATAATGGTATATATGGCATCCGAACAATCCCTGTCCATGGCCCATCTTTATTCTCCTTCATTCTCTCTTTATGGACATTTAGGCTCGTATAAAATCATTTTATGACAGTAAGTTCTTTTATCATATCATCTTCACATTTATCTCGTTCGTTTAAATATTTTTTACATCAGATTCGTATAATGGAGTGTTAAAGCAGTGGCCGATGTACTTGATATATTGCTGCACACTAAGCACGCTTATATTGTTATATATTGTCGACAACTACCTGCATGCAACATACCACGTAATGAAACAATGTAAAACTGTTTTAATGATTCAAGGCTTTCGAAGCACCTGCTGGACGTTGTGTAAAACATTCCATGATAGCTACATGTATGTGGATAGAAATCTCCAGTGTATCAAATTTAAAAGATATCATTTAAGGTTATTTTAGGTGTAGCTTACATACACAGACCAGGATCACTTTCACTATATGTACAGTCAACTTTGTAGAACCTTAGCTATACATAGATTCCGAGTAAATTATTCAAATGATCTCTTTTATACCGTCGATTCGATCGCTATCTGTAATGCAAGGACATCTCTAACATAGTTATCGGTACATCACAAAATCAAGTCCATGTTATATAATTGTATTTACGAAACCAACAAATATTAGACCATGGTATCAGAAAGAGTAAGATATTTATATGTTGAATAAAATGAGAGCAAAACACAGAGTACCTGCATCACAAGGTCCACCTCTCAAGATTTCTACAGTAAAATAAGAGTATTTTAGTACACTCTCTAGCAAATGTTGATGGTTATAAATAAGCACATATCTCTTCCCCTGTACGTGTACCCATGACACAATATCGCTATGTTGATTATCTTGTAGATACTATCAATATTATATCCTGTTTTCTTCTTTCTTCGTTTTAATATTTCCCAATATTCTATGAAGCGTTTAAATACCTTTTAGCTTCACTATCAAAGTTGATGGATGAAAAGTGAAAAAAAGATTCTTTTTGACAAAGACAAAAAATAAATGCGCCAAAATCGTTGATGATAACACTTGCTAAGAACGCTAGATACGAGATATTTTCTTTAATTGTCTGATAGCATACCAACCTGTCGTTTGTTTCCGATACATGAAAAAGACTAGAGATGGCCCCGGAAGTATTTGCGGTTATGGATCATTCTCAGTGAGCCGGGCATCGGGAGCTTTAGTCAGTTGTGTGATGCTCTGCCATTACAGAAATACTTTCAATCGTAATGATGTATACCACGTACAGGTGCGCCCCTCCTGAAGAATTTAGTGCCCTATAGTCGCGTCTGTTTATTGATAAGGTGCGCCACTCTTATCTAATACCCAAGTTCGATAATTATTCAATATTCTGAGAACTCTGAAAATATTTGTTGAAAACAATTTCTGCTTCATATGTGCCACTCATCAAACTACTTGGAATTCGTAGGATACTCCTTCTCTGATGACTTATATTTGTTTTGAGGTATGACTTATCATCAGATTTTTCTTCATTCTTGCATTAACATTTCTGTTCGGTTGATAAATGAAGTGAATGTTGAGTAAGTAGTGTTTTCACCAAATCATTGATGTACGCTTTCTTTAAAGTCATATCTTATCACCGTTTAAAAGCGATTGTAGAAAACAGCGTAAAGTGACCAGTACAAAATAGCAATGTCTTGTTGTCAAAGGTAACATCATAACTATCCCATGTCAAATATTAAGGTCAAATGTTAAAATATATATTTATATGGATCGACATTTTGCAATTTTGCTCCCTTTAAGATGTTAGAAAATGAAATTAAATACTGTCCGATGGAATCATATATATTTCACACATAAGGCAAAAGATATCGATTTTTTCATCCACCTCGCACCGTCAAAAACATTTATTTTGTTCTCATAGGCGTGATATATATATCAAACAAGAAGCGGTTAATATTCTTTCTCATTTTTTCATCCCCAAAACGCTTACCAGTAATAACAAATTCTCAAATTACCTGGTAGTTTGACTCAAAGGCATAGATGTTTCAATTTAGTGATGATAATATACGTGACATTCAAGA